TTATGATAATATAGTGTTGAATAATATTACAATCTTATTTGTATTTATAAAACTATAATCCCACCTGCCTATGTAGTAATGAAAAAGTGACGCTCCTTTAAAATTCCAGCCCGAGTCGTTTTCACTCCCTAGCCACTTCCCCCCCGCGCACGTTTCACTCGTGGAGCTGTGCAGGATTTTGCACTGACCGACTAATTTCACATGTTATGATATAATAGCAATAGTATACAATGTATAAACTATTTTAGATTTTTAACTAGCACCGTAATATCTCGTATTGTCGTCATCCGCATATTATATCAATCGAGTTCCGATGACTGTCCGCGCACATTGTCTGCGCCGCCCATCGAACCACATCGTCACGATCTCGCTGCAGTTTGCGTTAATTAAATCATTATTATACACTATCTTGTAGGTATCTATAATATATAATAATATTATACAAATCACGAAGTCCGATCCTCTCTCTCTCGCACGCCTCGTAAATTATAATTATGTATATTCATAATATTATATTATGTGCATGCAATATTCATATATTATATATATGTATGATAAATATATTACAATCAATTTTTAAGATAATTTCTACTCGCATAGAATGCATTTATGTATTGATAGACATAATATTATTATTATTATGTTTATCACCGGATTTTGAATGGATTTTTGATTGGATCCTGACCGCGGACATTGCACCGCGACACGCAAAGTTATTGACAAGATTATTGTACGATGAATTAATAATATATAGACACAAGACGGACTTTCGACGACAAGGGTAATTAAAAGTTGAATAACGATGTCGTTTAACGGACACGAAATTAACATTAGGCACCTATTTATTTAAATAATTACAACGTAATTTAAAATTTTAATTTGGTATACGGAAGCGGAAAATAAGAAATCAATTTTGTGTTTGACTTCTTAAATAAACTATTGCACTGTTTAATTAGATGAGAAATCTCAAATCTCAAAACAGTTAACATTTTTTAAAAACATTATCCTTAAATCGAATTTGATAAATAAATAATAAAATAATTACCGTCTAACATTCTAACATAATATATCGACTCTGGCAAATATGTGTAATGAACAATACATTTATAATATTATGATACACATTTGAATGAACATTTAATTTTGGTTAGGTCGTTATACTTCAAAGAATAATAATACTAATAATATTGCTTCAATTATAGAACATATAGATAACAGACTAAAAATGAAGACCTGAGGGCAACAACATGACATCTCCATTTTTATCAAAAATTGGTTTTTCATGGAAGAAATATCTATATTTTGGTACATAAATCAAAAAAATCTATTGATTACCTAGTTCTAAACACGATTAAAGATATCCAGGTTGCACATTGCCCTATAATAAACTGCTTTCAGATTGATTTACAAAGTGACTACATAAAACAGCTGTTAATAATTAACTAGTGGCGCTTGATGTCAACACTCAACTCAAGTTCTATATGTGTTGACATTTAGAACAAATTTTACACCTATTTATCTATAATCGGTTAACGGTAATACTGCCGCTTGGAGCGCCACTGGTTATAATTATTGGTAGTCATTTCGTTTTTCACCTTATCAGTAGTCGATGTGCAACCTGAATATCTTTAATCGTGGTTCTAAAGATATTGCAAAATTATTTTTTTTCCCGCCATTGGTGGAAAATGAGATAACAAATTTTCTTTCGCTTGTCCCGAAAAATTGATAAAAATGGAGATGTCTGGTTGTCGCCCTCAGGTCTTCAAATGTTCGTTGCAAAACACTTGCGAGTGTATTGTAATGACATAATATGTACTGTTTAGAAAATGTAGAAAGAATACTCTTAAAATATGTATTTTAAAAATAAGAGCCATTCCGGTTCCTCCTTCGAACACCATAAGCTTTGTACGCTCACAATGTAATATAAATAGTAAGTACACACATATATATATATATATATATTATATCGTATTGAGGTGATCTGGAAAATTTATTGCCACACAGTGCCTGTAATGACTTAGGGTCATTGGTCTTTCCAGTCTTGCCGACGTGTATATATAGGTATCTACCGCGCTTTTCCGGCGCCAAAAGACCATTTCCCTGCTCCAAATCTCAATTTTCCGCTGGTCCATGTAAGACGCTTTAATCGCCAACAACTGCCGAGTTCAAGCAACTCAACCGAACTTAATGTAACATGGTGTCCGGTGGAAACATTTGTGTATATGGTACACACACTCGATTAATCGATTATTTTTAATAGCCTATGTAACACCAGTAAACTTTTTTTTTAATGTTTAATATGCAATGCCATGATAGTTGTTTCAGGCCTCAACTGCGTAGTTATTATAGCTGGTGACCAAATATTATTTACATTGGCTAACTCATCTATTTTTTGCACTTTTATATGCAATATAATATTAAATTATAGTGATTAGTCAATATATATATTCCAAAAACCCATCAGGAAAAAATACACTTCAAAGTGAATGCATTTCAAATCTAAAAGAAGAGGTTGGATATGTTTAATTAATTAAAAATATAAATCGTTCTATCGCTCTGCATCGGTCGGCTTGATTATTGTGCATGTATTATTCACATTAATTTATGTGTTTAGGAATCACCACAGTCAGTGACCATATTATATTATTAATATAAGTTATAATATAACATTAAGCTCACCGTCTTTTATCTATATAGATCAAACACTAATTACAACTACCAATTACCAATTGAATATTTAAATTTTTAACGCTGTTTCTAATAAACTATTCCAAATTACTACTATCTATGTTATAGCTATTGAGTATGTTGAAGTTGAGCAATTATCTTAAGATAAATTTAGTAAATTAATATTATGTAACCTTGCACTATTATAGTTCATTAAAAATTTTAATTGCCTTTGTTATATAAATGTAGCCACGATTAAATCCATTTTTAAAACTTATGTAATTAAGAGTGCATGAATAATATATTTAAAAAATGTGCACTTAAGAGTACATTCTAAAAGTAACAGACACAACTATATAAGTGTCATACTAACAACTTTAAATACTACGTTATTTATTAGCACAATAAAAACATAATTTAAGGTAATTATGTCTTTGTTCTAAAATATAACAACTGTTTTCCGCAATAAGCAATTCGTAACCTATGTTACGTTTGTAATAAAAAAAAAATGTGGGCAAGTGGGTACCAATCTGCTGTACAATAATATTGTCGTGTGGGCCACTGTAATGGATGTGTAAGCATTCAAATTCAATAATATAAAATCATTGAATAAGAAAAAACGTTTTCGAACTTGAATAGAAAGTTAGTCAGCCAATATTACAGTAATATTTTCAAATTTCAAAAAAATACTAAAATCGTTTTTCCGTGTTTAAATATCTAATCTCCTGCAAATTTAAACTTAAAATACTGTGTAATTAGGTATAGATATAGATATCGTTATAATTATTAGATATTTTTGGATACATTATGAAAAACTGGTGAGAAACTTTGCCTAATACACCAAGTAGATTCACATAACCATCGGAAAAGATACTGTAGTTAAAGTTCAAATCATTATTTCGACTACTTATCGTGTAAACTGACCCCAAAGAAACACACATTATTGTAAAATCAATACTTCCATCGCTCTGCTTAGATTCTCAGAATCTAAAATAAATAAATAAAAATATACACATCATTGTAAAATCAATGCATTTATGTTGCTCAGCTTCGAATCTAAATGTTTATTGAATTTTTCCTAGTCGGCAAGGAAAATGTATTACCTACAAATGCCAATTTCATTTTTGAGGTCAATTTAATCTTTATCAAAGAAAAAAACTACCCGGTACTCAATTTCACGTCTACGCCAAAACAATTTATATATTCCTGCTTTTAAAAGCAATTTGTTCAGTAAGTCTTACCTTCTAATTAATTAATTCCCCAACACTATTGTTTTAGCTTTAAATTATTCTAATATTTTGCTTTTTGCTGATGATTGAAACATTTTAAAATTACCTAATAGTCAAGAAGACTGGCTAAGACTCCTACTAAAATATTTGGATGATATTTAAAATCGGCGTAATTCTAATGGAATGACTATAAATATGAATAAATACCACTTTATATTTTCTTTTCCAAAAAACATAAATATCTAACTTTTAATTACAATTGTCTAATTAAGTATTATTATGGACTCTAAACTCTTATTTAACTTGCGTGTGTTTGAAATTAAAAAAATCCTTCGATATATTTTTTGCATGTTTAAATGAAACTGTTACAGTTTTAGTAATTTCAGTGCTTTTCAAAGCCTTTATTCTTCTCGTATCCCTACTTGTGGACACTTGTCTCGAGTGGGAAACTGGGATTAACTCATTGAAATGAAATTGAGCAAATATAGAATAATAAGTTTCTTTGGTTTATTTCTTATTAATGTAATATAGTTTTTACTGCCCTGTTCTAATTATCACAAACTTAATAAATACGAAAATGTGAAATTAATTTTTTCTGTCTCAATAAAAAACAATTATGGCAATATTTGAATTTAAAATATATTCATGGTGATAGGCGATAGCCAATAATTATTATCAAATGGTACAAGGAATACGAACAAAATAAAGTATTTTATTTCAATATGATTTTAATTTTTCACAATATTTAACTTATTATTATTTTTTCTTGTATAAAATATTATTTTCTAAAACAAATTCAATATAATAAATAAAAATAAAAAAAAAACGTACGTAAAATTCAAAGAAAACTGATCAAACAATTAATGTATACATATTAATTAAACATAAAAAGAAAAATTATAATAAATGAGATTGATTATGATTATAATATTACAAGACAACAGAAATTTAAAATGTACCTCTAAATTTAATCTGCTTAAGACAATTTATTTAAACAGTTTTTATTCTCTATAATCACAACAAATTATTATAGACTCATGAGCTTAATTTTAAAAATCACAGGCTTCATAAACCTAAAAAGTATGTTGTTTTACGACATACATTTTACCATTGAGGCTTTTCTAACTTGATTTTGAACTGTTTTTCATCGGGATAACCTAAAAAAAAATTATATAAAAATGAAAAATTATTTTCGTTAATTTGGAAAGCGATTTTTTGGTTGCAGACAGTCTTAGAAGATAAGGACGGACATCTTCCCCCTCCACCTAGAGTAGTATCGGGTTCGCAAAACAATGCAAACATTTTCAATTATAACCACTTTATGTTGGAAAACTTCTCGTTATTCGTATTTGAAGTAACTATAATACTTAAAATATTTTGTAAGTATAGTTGTGATTATTTAATAAATATTAAATGTTGATTAAATAAAATAAATTATAATTAATTTTGTCGTTCAAATTAATCAATTTAAAAAGTAACACGGACGTTACATGTTTTATTGTTCTTTATCAATTTATTATTAATAAATAATTAGTAAAATTTACTTTATTTATAAATTTGAAATTACAATACTAATTTATTATACGCCATATAACCTCAAAAACGTCCGACTAGCTGAGGTTTTCTAAAAAGTGGTCAATATTGAAATTAATGTTTTTTCTCCCGTAAGTAGAACACTGATAAAGTAAAGTTGTTTTGAAATTTTTACCTCCCAAGACCGTGGTTTGCATTTAAAATTATTTAAAAAACGTACGTATTGTCTGAGTGTTTGTCGTACTGGCCAATTCCGATTGAATGTGAGGTTTAGGTAAAATATTGTTTTTGGACCAATGCTTCTGCAATAGAACGAAAACAAATAATGATTAGCATATTATGTTTGTCAACACAAACGATACCATTGAGCGAAAATTCATTAAAATTTCAACGAACAACCACAACGTCAACAATATTTCGCATTGTACAAAATTATTAGTCATTTCAGTATTAAATGTGTAGCTCACCGTAGATGGTTGTGGCGAATGGTTTTTCACATGTTTTCGAAGTGAACTCGGATCAGTGTACCGTTTGTTACATCCACTTGCAGTACAAGCGTAAGGTTTCTGTAAATAATACAATACTATTAGAAATCTAATTTGAGAGTCGGGGTTTGATTCAATTTTTCATGAATTTTTTACGTGTATTTACATATTATATGCTCTCAAAAATTAAATTATGTGTTGAGAGGATTCTTCGCATACCTACTCGATATTTTGAGAAAATTCGAATCATTTTTCTATAATTATAATTATAATTATTATATTGTTATATCACGAAATTACAACACCTTACATGTTGGATAAGGTTCGTACATGTTCATAACATGAAAATTTCAATTAGATCTATCTGATATATGACGATGAGTTAAATGATAAATTTAATGGGTGCTAAAAATAAAGCCTGATAAATTCTAACCACGATCAACAACACGTTTTAGATGGTAAGTATTTGAATTTAAAGACGGCATTCTATATATGCAATTTATTAGCATACGTGTCTATAAAATGATAATAATGTATTCATAATGTTACGAATTATTATATTTTTATTTTTATGTTTAATTGTATTGAATAATATGATTCTATATTTTATTTCAATGACTACATAATAATCCGTATAATTTCTAATACTAACTAGGTAAGTATGTGATTATTTAATTTTATAAAGATTGTATGATATTATATATTAATCTATACCTATACATTTCTGACGACTTATATCGTCCGTGATTAACTGATGGCTGATGATATTAGTAAAAAAGTCTAATCGATGAAAATAACAGAAAAACAATTTTAGCATTCAGAGTTGTAACAACACGTGTGTTTGTTTTACAATTTTATTTTCCGTAAAATTATATATTTTTTTTAACATCGTAATATTATATAGCTACACAAAGGTCACATTCTGATGTGATGGTTATTATATTATTATACAAGATCATAAAAAAACGGTGGTGAATTTTATCTCCACTGGAGTGAATAGAATATAGTTTATAGTTATACAATAACTCGCTGTTATGTTATACAATTATATTGCTCACATTGATACAGAAAATAGTAATCGACAAAAATCACGACTTTAAAATAAAAACTATTCTTATTGTTCGTGACTTTCATTCGAGAAAGTTTTATAACTTCGATATAATTTATATTTTATACTCCTCTCGTATGACTGTTGATATAAGTTTCATTCGTTAACATAATTTATTGCATTTGATGATGTTTTCTAAACATTCATAAGGTCAAAAATAATTTATTTCACACAAAATCTCAATAATTAAATTACAATCATTACCACTTGAATATATATATATATATATATATATATATATATATACATAAAAAAATGATCTATTTTAAATTTAGATGCCTAGTTAAAATATAATATAATGGCGTTTTTCAACGTTTTGTACTTGCATATAAAAGTCGTATGATCACTATTTAAATTTAATAATAATAAATTACCTGTTCGAAGTGTGTTCTTTGGTGTTTCGCTCGATCCGAACTGTTACTGAACGCTTTTGAGCAACCCAAAAATTGACAAGAATATGGTTTTTCACCGGTGTGCGACCGCTGATGAATTTTTAAATTCTCTAGCCTAGAGAATGCTTTTGGACAGCCAGCAAACTGTTGGTAAATACATAAAATGTTTTTTATTAGTTCCTCGAATCGAAATTCTTCGTGAATGCAATAATAATATCGTCATAAACAAGGTGCATAAATTGCATGACTAAAGTCTAAAACCGATCACAATCGATGACATACTACCTATATAATATATATATATTATAATACCTATTTAACGTTTATGATCATTATTAAGCGCATATTATATACCCATAAGACGTGTATAAGTATTATAAATTATACACAGTAGGTACATACATTTTAAGACTTCAATAAGACTGCTTTATTGCTATGGCAGCAGAGAAGCATTTTCAGAAGACCATATTAACTATACAGACCAATAATAAATTTAATTTGTATTTATTCATTTGTGGAGGACAATTTATGCTGCAGTGATGAATTTACGTCATTGCAAATCGTTAGATTGATTTTTGAAGACCTTTCAATATCGAATGTGGATCAAATGATATTGCTGTTTTAGCAGGTGAGATACCAACGGTGCAGATAGCTACTGATATTATTATAATACTTAATACAGTATTTACACATTGTTGTGTAACCTTGGATATCAGTCGGATATGCATGCGAATAATATTGCACACATCGCGAGTGTTGGTTGTGTAAAAAAAAAAAAAAAGCCACATCGGATATTTTTCTTCTCTAGGGAAACGCCTAATCGTAAAATGAAAAAAAAAAAAATTGAAAAACAAACAAAATAATAGCTTTATCCGCCTGTACAGCAGTCGCGCGGATTCGACACGATATAATCTTATATAATAAAACGCTAATAACGCGTATAAGATCCGCGGGGAGCGCTCACGGCACTCCGCGTTTCTTCCATGACGACCAATCACAATACTTCCCGCGCGTTCGCTATAAATTCCGCTCGCTTATCTCCCATTTCCTTATCGACGAATATTTTCGAACATTATTATTATTATTATTAAAAAAAAACCCGTGTTTTTCAATTTTTTGACGTGATAATAACGTCTTATAAATCGATTACCCCGGGACCGTCGGGCGGAGTGGGGGGACCCATTAAACGAGTAATTATTTTTGACCAAGTATAACTTAGCCGGTATTCGACTTAGAGACCCCGTACCAATGGGCATCTCAATTTTTTAGGCCCCAGATGAATTTTCAACATTAGGGAACCAAAGCCCCCACCCCCCCCACATTTTGAGTTGAGTATAACTCGGCCGGAATTCAAGTTAAAGACCTCGGACCAAGGGGGAACCCATTCTTTTTATGAATACTACCGTTTTCCGCTTTAGGGAACGGGGGCACCTCCTCCCCCCCTTTTTGGATTTTGCTTTTTTGATGGATTTTGGTCCGGGAGAGTACTAACACCCACCTCGCCAAGGGGAAACTCGGGGTTTTGAGTTTTTGATAGGATTTATTGGGATTTTCTTAAATATTGTTTTTATTGATAAGGAAAGTGATAAGAATTTTATTTTATCGCCGCGAGCACGGCGACGCGGCTTAAGAGTCATACATTTGCCTCGGAATTTCATCTGAGTAGGTGGCTAGGTTGGTTAGGCGTTAGGATAGGTGACTCGAGGGTCGTGGTTACGAAACCGCCGCCAGGACAATAGATAATTTGCGGCCCCCGTGATAAATGGAATTTTTTTTTTCACGTTTTTTTTTGGTCACATTAATCATGTGTTCCGATTTTTTTCAAAATTCGCGTTATTATAATATTATATATATCGGTATTTATATATATTTATTTTGCAAAAAAATAATAATTAACATTTAATTAATACTTGATTTTACCGTGACCAACCTACAATATAATTGTAATGTAGTACCTACTTGATATATTGCAGTTTTTAGGTGATTCCGATTGGGTTAAATATTGCTACAGATTATAAATACTGTTTAATACGATATTAATAAACTATATTAAAAAATAGTACGACTATATGACTGCTCCATTTGCCGTTTTTTTCGAAAATTCGAGTTTCAGCCCCTTTCGGTCGTATCACCCTCCCCGTCGACGACTTATTCGAGTTCCCCGCTAAATTTATAGCCGGCGTGCGGCCCTACTTTTCCACAGACGAGTCCCGGGGAGGAGAGGCGTCGCGGAAACGAGAGTAGGTACCGTGTAGGTATCGCTATATACAGGCATAAATACATGCGTCGAGGCGTTTTTTGGGGAGCCGTCACTGCGTTATCTTTCCTCCTTATCACTTTTCACGGTTTTGACCATTTTTCACAATTTTTTTTCAACATTTTTGAGGTTTACCCCCCTCGGGTGCCTCGGGAGGGCCCGTTTGCACCTTATTCGCGTTCCTCGGTAAATTTATAGACGGCGCGCTGTCCTACTTAATTCCCGGCCGGCCCGCGGCGGCAGATATCGCGTGCGATACGAGCGCCGCCGTCGCGCGTGTTTTTTGCCGTATTTTTTAAAAAATTCGAGTTTTATCCCCTTTCGGTCGTATCGCCCTCACCGTTTGGATCTTATTCGCGTTCCCCGCTAAATTTATAACCGGCGCGAGGCCCTACTTTTTCAAAAACGAGTCCCGGCAAGGAGCGGCGTCGCTTAAACGAGAGTAGGTACCGTGTATGGTATCGCTATATACAGGCATAAATACATGCGTCTCGAGGTTCGATTTTCTTCGCAAATCTCGCGACGGTCGTCCGCTCACCGACGCTGTCGGATCGCCCGCTCAAACTCCCTTTGAACCTCTTCTAAACGGCGTTCGCCTTTCGCGGGGACGGCAACGCGGCTTAAGAGTCATAGATTTGACTCAGGTTTTCATCTCAGTAGGTAGTTTGGTAGGTTAGGCGTTAGAACAGGTGACTCGAGGGTCGTGGGTTCAAACCCCCCGGCCCCCGGGAATATACGATAATTTGCGGCGGCCGTGATAAATTAATTTTTTTTTTCGTCGTTCGCTATCACTTCCGTCTTATCATTTTTAACGTAAATGTTCCGATTTTTTTCAAAATTCGAGTTTTAACGCCTCTACTGACTTCGGACCTCCCCGTTGAAGACTTACTCGCGTTCCCCGTCAAATGATTTAGCAGAGCGGACAGTGTCTTTATTACTATACATGGGCGTGAATATATTATGCGACGAAGAGTTCGATTTCTTTTTTTTTCAAAAATTTGAGTTTTAGCTCCTTTTGGTCGTATTACCCTCCCCGTTTGAATCTTATTCGCGTTCCCCGCTAAATTTATAGCCGGTGCGCGGCCCTACTTTTTCACAGACGAGTCCCGGGAAAGAGCGGCGTCGCGGAAAAGGGAGTAGGTACCGTGTAAGTATCGCTATATACAGCAATAAATACATGCGTCGCGTCATTTTTTGCTGTTTTTTTCTAAAATTCGTTTCTTGGCCCGTTTTAGTGGTATTGGCATTCCCCGCTAAATTTATAAGCCGCCGTCGTCAGTACTTCGCTCGAGTCGAGTTCCGCTTAGGAGATCGGGGAGCGGACAGTGTTGTTATTACTTTATACGGAAATGAAAATATGCGACAAAAAGTTCGATTTTTTCATACACACTTTCATACACATAATACATAAGTCATAACACAATGATGCACCATTATAATTATGCAATTATAATTACTAAATAATTTAAAACATCATATGACATTTAATAAATTGGTAGGTAGGTACATCATATATTATATACAGACATACAATCTAACAGCAAAATATTATGATAGTAGGTACTTACGAAGATAAGTGCCAAAAAATTGTATAGTGTATTCATTTATACATACCTACGTTTAATATGATAGTATTACATTTCAATAAAATTTGTTATTCACCAATATAATTATCTATTTGTTAATTTGATTTAATTCTCATAATTAAATAAATATACATGGTAGGTATATCAGATTTGAACGGCCGTTTCGAGCACTTTTCGCTGTAGGCGGATTGTCCGTTCGGGAATCGACTTTCACCCGAGATGACTGATAGCTAGACACTCAAACTCAGAGAACCCGAATTTCCGATTTCAACACACATACGAGAACCGGACATACACGCCCGGGGCATGGTCTGCGATCCGACGTAGTCGGATTGCCTACCTGGCTGGTTGTGTTGTACGATCGACTTGAATCGAGTGACTTACGACTAGACACTCTTCCGAGTTCAAAAATTACCGCTTAACCAGTGCTGCCAACACACACACACACTCCAGAACCGGACATACACGCCCGGTGCATGGTCTACGATCCGACGTAGTCGGATTGCCTACCTAAATAGCTACTTGCATACGAGCGACTTACACCCCCACTGCAACCGACACTCGGGAATCGACTTTTACCCGAGATGACTGATAGCTAGACACTCAAACTCAGAGAACCCGAATTTCCGATTTCAACACACATACGAGAACCGGACATACACGCCCGGGGCATGGTCTGCGATCCGACGTAGTCGGATTGCCTACCTTACTAGCTACTTGCATACGAGCGACTTACACCCCCACTGCATCCGACACTCGGGAATCGACTTTCACCCGAGATGACTGATAGCTAGATACTCAAACTCAGAGAACCCGAATTTTCGATTTCAACATTTCCGATTTCAACACACATACGAGAACCGGACATACACGCCCGGGGCATGGTCTGCGATCCGACGTAGTCGGATTGCCTACCTGGCTGGTTGTGTTGTACGATCGACTTGAATCGAGTGACTTACGACTAGACACTCTTCCGAGTTCAAAAATTACCGCTTAACCAGTGCTGCCAACACGACAAAACACAATACCCGACGACCCCCCCATTCCCGCCGCAGGCCGGATCAAAAAATCCAGCATCGCCGACAAAGATGCACCACCACCCACACAGTCTTTCCGCCGCAGGCGGGATGACAAACGCCAAAATCTAGTATTATAATAATATCATATTATAATATATACAATACGTTTTTATCTACGTGTTTTGTACTGCGCGTGGTATTCACCATATCATATTATTATTATTATTATTATAGATAATCATTGTGCATCTGCGCATGTGCACTCTATATTATTTGCAGCACTCTTTGGGAGGCGGTGGATGATGCTGCTTACTATATTATTGGGGTTTTATCGACTCTTCCGTTTCAATATCAATTCCGCAGGATTTTCGTTTATGTCGTTTCCGTTTATTAAACAATAACCGACGTATCGTGTTATACAGAATTTTTTTTTTAAATTAACAGTCGCCCCCATATTTTCGGATTAAATTTTCATGTTTCATCGATGCAATTATCACATATATGTAATCACAGAATTTATTTTTAACCTCATCAGGAACGAGCTGACATAAAATCTTTCACTTGTACTTGTTCTGCATTTAATATCCAGCCAGGTGGAATTAATATGTAAAAAATGTCGGTTAATACGCGGCTCGACAATCGATAGATTTTTTACAGGTAAAAAGGCGCAATCGATATACGCACATATCATTATGTTTAACACGACACATACGTCACACGGTAGGTATATATTATATTGTACAGAATTCAGATATTGTATCATTACTATTATTGTATTATAAAATATATATCGTCCACGGCATAATAATAGGTAGGTAGGTATAACATTAAGTACTCGTCGTGTGTACGAAAAACGGTGGGTAGAACCATATCATTATGTACGGTGGACGACTACTACAACAGTGAGTTGTAATTTGGTCGCTTTAAATTATATTATTCCCGTAACGTATTATACATAGCACAATAACAATTATTATTATTATTATAGGTGTAATGTTATAATCTGGCAAGTTTCAATTGCGATGTACACGACGCGTTCATTTATAGACACTATATTATACATAAATATTACTATATAATATTGAAAATAATAATATATATATGTACTGCAACGACATCAGCCACGTTGTTGTATTGTATATTTTTCTGGTGACGGCGGAAAAATCGATAAAATATTGCACCCGGCAATGGGGATGAGGCGGGAATTTTAAATCGACCGCCGTTCTCAAATTGCATTAAAACTCAGAACATAACTTAAAATTGTTTCGTACGAGTTTATACAAATTAATAAAGTTTTTCGATAGCGAAACGTCAAACCGAAAATATTGTTGCAAGAGTAGATTATGTGCTATGATCTCGGCATTTTCGAGGGCACTTCTTGCAAAATTATTAACCAACTACTATAATATTATAAATATTGTCGCTGTCATTATGTTTTATTGTCAACCACAGTCCACGACCTAAGTAGTCTTAGTCCAAGTGTTTTTCTCTATTATCAAAAGTAAGATTTTCAGATCTGATATTTTGACGAGCGATGGAAGGTGTGTCGTTTTTAACATCGACAGATATAATATTATACTTGTACGATATCAGATATTGTATACAGAATAAGGAAATATAGAAATAACACGAGAACGCTGTGATTGGAAGAATAAATGATATTTAATAATTCAAACCGCCAGTAATATTCAATATTGCACTTTTAGTGTTTTCTACTGCCCTGCATATTCTGGTTCTGCAGCTCGTTGGAAACGTGGATTTAGTCCTTAATTTATAATTTGAATAATCTGACAACAGCAGCTATGCTGTATACAATAATAAAAGGCAATTAATTGATCATTATAATATAGTTTAAACTAATATCGACCAATCGATGGTTACTAAAATTTGCAAGAAATAAGGTAAGTACATCTCGAGATAGATAAATGGTCGAGTTTCGGTTTGTGTTCATACGATAAATTGTCCTAGGGTCCAAACTCTGGATAAGTACTGAAGTGTAAAAATAATACACATTATAATATTAATATATATCCTACTTTTATCGACTATCGTATAAAATCCACACTTGGGTAGTATTCCGAATACTTTTTAAATACTTTTTTTTTAAAGTATTCAATACGGTATTTTGAATACTCTTTGGGAGTGTTATTCTGAGTACAGTATTCGGAATACTTTTTTTCTTATATAAATATACTCTTATGTATTACTAATTATTACTTATTAATTATATTAGTCTGAATATAATTTATAACTAATAGACAGCAAGATAGTTGTGCATTATCGAGATTATAATAATGTTCATTTATAAACATAGAATTGAAAAGATAATATTTTGGGGCTAATGAAATCTAAATCTACTGAAAAAAAGTATCCGAAAGTATTCCAAATACTTAGGAATATAATTATCATAAATTATTCGAATACATTTTTAAAAGTATTCGGAATATGTATTTGAAATACCCAAGTCTGACAAAATCGTGTATAATAATAATAATAATAACGATGATGATTTGTATTTTGTGCATTATAGTGGAAGATGACGCCGACAGTATATATTATATATTGAAACGGGCTCGTAAATATTATTACGTAATGTGACGACGACGACGACGATGAAAATGCGTTCGGACTGCGCAATAATAACGTGACATGTATATCGCGGATTGTTATTAACCCGCCCCGACAATGCACGTACATTGTGTACGGCAATTTATATTGTACTCGTATTGTGTACTATACATTGTATTATCATTATTGTTTTTGTAGGAGGCGTTTACCGTGCATTTGTTGGGCTTGTCGCCCGAATGCACTCGCATGTGTATGAGCAGCTTGTACCGGGCGTTGAACGGACGCACGCGCCTGGGGCAGCCCCGCCACTGGCACGTGTACTGCGCGCAGGCGCCCCGGGGAGCGGTGTCCACGTGTAGTTTCTCGATGTGCCGCACCAGCGGTTCTTGACCTGGCCCATCGACTTTTACCGTGCACCCTTCCCATTCGCACGCCAACACTCCGTCGCAGGGATTGCCTGCAAAAACGATACGATGTGAACCCACTGCAGTATATAACACATCAAATATATAATAATAATAATATATAAATAGGTGTAATAATAATACTATATAAATACATAATAATAATAATAATAATATATTGTTAAAAATAATTCATATAATTTATAATTGTTATTAGTATAATAGTACATAGGTTTAATATTATCAAAAGGCTCGACGTGTATTTTATAATTTCGACAGCTAAGACGCCAAATATTATGTCGTTTTCACCAACTCTAAATTTTACAGGAAAGCTGTTATAAATATTCCAATTTTTTTAAAAAATATACTCGTGTTGATTAATTATTTAGATCGACATTCTTCGATATATTGTGAACGATCAGTTTATATAACATAGGGGAGAGTGTTGTACCTTGGCACCATTTTTATAAAAGAAATTCTAGAACCTTTAATTTTGAATATTAAATGTTCAATTTTATTACTCATATAGACAATACACATAAGTATATGGTAATTTTTTTTAAAGGCCTTATATCAATTATTTTTTAAATTAAAATTTATTTTTTATAAACACAAAAAATGGTCCAAGGTACAATATATATTGTACCTTGGTATTTAGGGTATTGTACCTTGGTTTGCATTGAAATATGCATACTTAATTTCAAAAATAATTTTATATTATGTATTTGATTAGTTATGAATGCCTAGTTATTATTTATTTCAATTATTATAGTTACAAAATATATTTATTATTATTTATAGATACCTACCTATAATATTACACAATAATAAGAAAGGTAAATAAAATAAATAAACACTTACCTTATTAATTTAAATGAACAAATTAAAATACAAAAAGTTGTGTTTTAAAATTCAAATATTATTTTTTTTGTGATAAGAAAATGATTTGCTGTTTATCAAAAAAATACGCGCATTTTTGCTATCAATTTCTAAATTATTTATTGTAGTAGGACTAATGACGTAAATTTCTTCCATGAGATTTTGTTTTCCCACAATATTTTATAAAATATTTACATTAGTCCAAGGTACAAGCGGTCCAAGGTACAACACTCTCCCCTACTACGAATCGATATCTATAGGCCAATGTCTATAATTATAAGATCTAATTTTTTTTTTTTGCCAGAAATAAATGGACTCAATTTCTTAAATAAGACGTTCAAGGTCAAAGAATGCGTAGCGGTGCATATACATGAAAAATAGGGAACTGTTATTTTAGTAAAACGAATGTATAAATGGAGTTTGCTGCGAGGGACCGATTTCGCTATTCGTCGATAGGGGGAGTGGCGGCGCGTATATAGAGCAACTTTTAAAAACGCTTCGGATGGACGTTGCTAGGGGTGAGTTTATAAGTGTATGTATGGTAACGGAGGGGTGCGGGGCGGACAAGTGTAGTTACGGGGGTGGTTTATGTGCATGTTATTGCATTTATATAGATGTATATAGCGTACCGAAGCGGTGCAGCACTGCGGCGACGGCGAAACGCAGGCGCCCCCGACCGACGATGGAAAAATAAAATAACAATCGTTATGCCGCAGAAAAGCACTCTCTGGGTCGAAGACCTCAAGCCTGGCCGATGCGCCCACCCCTCATCCTGTAATTGGCCCGGGTTTTCTAGGGAGTATATATGCGCGCATATAAATACGTAAACCTATATAGCTTTTATCACCCCCCCTCCCTCGACCATAAAGGCACCTTCTCCGAACCTCCCCCCCTCATAACCTACCCAGAACCCTGCGCAGGGACCATCCCGTCCAACGCCTGCAACTACCCCAACCGCGGAACACTATTTGGGTCACGAGTCCCGCGTCTAGGTTTTCATATTCCCAGTTGAGTGTGTACGTGCGACGTTGTATAATATTATATGTACAGTGTATACACTGCACACAGAGTTTGCGCATATATCACAAGTAATGTAATAGGGTTTCCTCATGCTGCGCTCCCCGAAAGGAAATCGATAGTTGGTTTTCTTCTATTTACGAAAATATTCCGTTTGCGTTCGGATCGTATTCATATATATATATATTTTTTTTTAACACACGGGATGTATTTTACTGCACTACCGACATTTTTGTACAGAGTTTAGACGATTTCCACATCGATTTATATACCTACGGGCTGAGAGAGGTTTGTGGATGGGGGCAATAGGCATTCCGTTCTAGGCACTCGAATTAGCAGAGCCACCGTTTTTAATTAATTAAAATAAATTGTCTCATTATTACACTTGAATAGGTTTTATTTTTTTAAACGTATACATTATTTAGTTGAGAAATATTTATAAATTATTTTATAATATGTACCATAATTCTGAGGAGAATAAATAACAACAATTTTATAAATCGTACGTTGATTTGGCCACACAGATTTATGTGTCACTGTAAACTTTTTTTCAAACAGGGATACTCTGTGTCTAATATATTAAATTTATTAAAGGCGAACCTGGTAATTGGTCCATTATACTTATGACGAATGACGATGCAATGTTATCTCCACATTTTATAATATGAGCTTTACATCCTAGATATAAGTATATGAACTCAGCTGCAAATGCCATTGAGTCGTATTGTAATTTATTATAATTTATTTATTTTTATTAATTAAATCCGTGGCACAATGGCCATTGGGTAATCATTTATTTATACTCTTGAACAATAATTAGCAATTACATAGCTGCATCCCAATAAAAAAAATATATGGGGGGCGGAATGACCGAGCTGACTAAGGCGACGGTTGCGACGCAAACCAACGCCGGTTCAAAACCTCGGCCGCGGGTGGCATTTTTCTTCGGGCAAGTCAAGGTGTCCGGAGAGAAGTGCCGCCATTCCCCACCCGGGCATGGCAGATACCTACGAGTGCCCACTAAAAAATCTGCCAAACTGTGTTAACGTGTTTAAAACCTATAGTACCCTCCCACACAGTAAAAACACTCAAAATATGGCCTAAGTTGCAGGGGGTTAATTAATAAAAAAAAAAAAAAATAACTAGCCGAATGTATATAATAATATTGTTTATTATTTTTAGCATATCATATTATCTTCTGACTCGGTTAAACTAGTAGAACGCTTAAATAATAAAAAAACATGAAAAATCATTTATAAAATATGAAAACATATAATATAAGTAATTAAAAAAATTAATTATAAATGTTCAACCAAAATATCAAATATTGAGGCAAATTAAAAAAATACGAGTATGATGGGAAGTATAAAATAATTTAAAGTACCTACCTACTAATTATTTTTTTTGGAATTTAAGAATACAAATTAAATTTGATTAGAAAAAAATATATATAATCTTACCTTGGTACATTGGCTCCAAGAATGTGTCAAACATTATGGCATCACAGTCGTCTTTGGCCATCACCACCTTAATAATACAATTATAATATGAAATAAGTAATAAGTACATAATATATTATTATTATGACAATACACTCTACCCTGAGATGGCTAGATGCGTAGCATAAGAAATTAAATTATATATAAATGATGCAATTGAAACACACACTTCATAATTAATTTACTAATATAGGTAACCTATTATTATATATTATTTATGTGACTCTCGTCTTTTTTTTTTTCACCCTTTTTTCCCGACCATTTGGGATCGGCCATCTTGTCCTACGCCTCCATTTTGCTCTGAACCCCTCTAATTTACTTACACCATCTTTTTTCGTGTCATTCTCTATTCTGTCGATCCATCTCTACTTCTCCCCCTTTTTCCTTCAATATATATTTCCATGGCCACTATTATTGCCTCCTTATCACCTCTCCTCATAACTTGACCAAACCATCTAAACCTATTCTCCCTAATTTCATTTACGATTCGTAGCATTTCTACACTGCGCCTAATTGATTTATTTCTTGTTCTATTATCCCTATAGTAACTCCACGCATCCGAGCCTCAGCATTCTCATCTCTGCAACAATGACCCTCTGTTCGGTTTTATTGCCCAACATTCCGATCCACACGATGATCCAATATGAGTTTATAGGACTGCCCTCACGACTTCTTTATAAAATCTCTCTTTTAATCTCAACTATTAAAATAATGTCTGTCACTCTTTTGGAAATAAAAATAACAAAAATAATTTATGTATGACTAATTGTGTGAAAGTATGTGTTCTAATTACTAAGACATAATTTATAAGTATTATACGTTTTAATATTTATATGTAAGTACTTGTGTATATACAGACCTGATTTTCTGAAGCAAGAAACGATTTATCGTCCTGGTCATTCGTTAAAAATGGTATGTCAAAACAAACTTCTTCGTCGGCCATAATTGTGTGTCCAAATGAATCAAAATCTTGGACTTCCTAAAATGTCACATACATAATTATATTATAAGAAGAGAAATATTTCGTTTTAAACAGTCTGCGTTTCCAATAAATAAATTTTCATTATATAATAATTCGTACAAGTACAAGTACAAGTACAACCATCATCAATTAATTCAAAGATTTTCGATGAAAATATTTAAAATATTAAAATTAAAATATTATACTGATTTCAAATAAAATACCATTAAATACTCTATAGTACACTATAGGCACGTTTTAAATTTATAAACTTTATGTGGACGAGACCAACACATTACGTGTATATACTATAAAGAAATAAGTTTCACGTATAACGGTACAGATTTTTGCAGAAAGTTTTGCATCAATAAATCCAATGAGGACAAAAAACACCGAACCGTTCGTTGCAGGTGTAGAAGAGAGTTAGTTGTATGCGTTAAGTAAAATATATTAAATAACCAGAAATTAAATTATTATAGATACGAGACTGCTCAGATAAAAATCGATTTTTATAGCACTCTAGTTTTCGAGTTATCCTGCACTGTAAATAAGTGTGTAGCAAAATATTTGAGCAAATACTCACTTGTCAAAGTCAAAAATGTATGATGTCATACTTAATTTAAATTACCATTTATAACTAATAGAGATTGTCTTGCTTTTTGGTGCGTTTATTTCGATATAATTATCATGAATTATTTTGATTTTAGACTTTCTCAGGTGTTTAATATCGAAAAGTAGAAATCTTGTCTAACAAAGTGCACGAAGAGTTAAAGTTGAAATAGTAACAAAAGAATTAGGTGTATTGAGACAACTCCAATTTCCATATAAACCAAAAAAAAAAAACGGAAAAGTGGTGTTAGAACCAAACAATGTTGTATTGTTGTGAACGAAAGAAATGAAACCAGTCACTGGAAGTCGTCACTGGCTTATTCAGATGTATTATTCATATTTGTTTGTACCTACTTTCTCTCATTTTACCGACCACATTACTCGATATATTAAAGATTACAACCAGTCAGGGGCTAAAATACTGTGTCCCCCAAATGACAAATGTGTAAGGTAAGTGGTATATAAAATATGGGGGGGGATTTTGGATGTACAACCCCCACAGGTTTATTTTTGCTATAGAAATCTGTCAGAGCCTAAAGGTAACAGTTATATTAATAAGTGTGTCCCCTGAAATCAGATGTATTTTAGGCCCTGCGACTATAGTGATATTATTGGTTATAAAAGGTCGGACTGGTCGACATTTTTCGTGCATAATTTTCGACGGTTCCATAATTATTAAGGGATACATATTGTAGTACCTAAATATTATTGAATGTAGCTTAAATCGTATAAGATGAGTTTGTTAACTGTTTCAACAGTGGGTTTTTCATTTATTTTGTTCAACCCCTCAGACCCACACACAACATAAATAATATTTTCTAGTTGTAACACTGTAGATAAGTACCTATTGGCTAACTCTAATTAAAGCTATGACGCATATCATTTGTTTAAAGCTCTTAAAACATACTTAAGTGCACTCTGTTTGTTTTGTTTTTATTTATTTTTCAACAAAATAACAATACTTTCAAGTATAAAAACAATTGTTTGATAACATGGATAATGTATACAGTGTAATATTGTATTATGTGTATCATGTTAAGTGATAAAAAAATGTATATTACATTGTTTCTAGTATGATAACTTGTGTAGGATAAAATTATGAATATAAGATGGAATATTTGAGTACAACAATATATTTAGGTAACACAAAAAAGCAGACAATCATTTCAACAAGGGAAAAAATTGTATCCTATACTATTATTTGAATAATAATATAAATTAAAATAGTTGTACCTATATTACGATCTTTGACTAACTTTTATGTTTATTTTGTGTTTTACTGGCAATATAAAATGTTAATTATTATATTTCAATTCGTTTTTAAGAATATTTTCATTTTTAATGTCACTATAGACTAGACTAAGATATCTACTAGCCTAACTATGGAAATTAACATACTAAATACTAATATGAGATATTTTTATTTTTATTGCACTTTTAACATTTTTATTTTATACTTTTATATTAAAATAAATAAATAATTGAGTGATCATTTATTATTTTTAACTTTTAATATCCAAGTACTGTTGAATGGTCGATTTAGAATTATATTAATAATTAATTTGTTTTTTACAAAACATAATTTTATGAAAATATAACTATCAAACAATGGTCATAAAAAATTCAGTTCTCTATGTTACATTAATAATGGTCATCAATTATTATTACAATACAAATAAAATAAATCAAAAATAATGATTATAAATCATAATGATCTGATTGGGAAATTCAATGCCTAACTGATAAACAATAATCAATATTTGGCTGTGATAATGTTGATCATTATGAATGTTTTATAAAAAAAACTATGGAAACTGGAGTATAAGTTTAAATCGGTTTTAAACAAATTCTTACTAGTGGAAGGGATTAAATAGGGATATATAGATGTGTACACGCATACAATATGTCATAACTCATAAGGAACCAATGAAAAATTTCAAATAAACTAAAATCGTAACGAAAAATGATTATTTTTAGTCCCTGGAATGAATGGGAAAATTCACCGTTGAATTTTTATTTGTTGATCGAAACGCATACGCCTCTCTATCCGAAACTTAAAATTGGTAAGTAGGTACACAACGTGAACGGATTCCATAAAAATAAGTTTTAAATTCAAATGGAATCGTGTGATCTGGGGGGGAAAGCCGTATTTCCATAATCGCGAAAACATAATTTTTATAACGATCGTGGTGTGAATATACAGACGACGAATATATTATGTTAATTTATTCAATATAGAAAACGTCTCACCAATAATCCAGAGGCTGAGGTGGACGGCGGTGAGCCTAGGGCGTATGGTTTCCGGATCCTGTGCAGTTGGTCGGAAAAACTCCTGGTGCCGGGTATCATGGGTGGCAAGACGGGCGGTGGCAACGAGTCGTCTTCGTCGTTGTCGTCGCCGGAGTCGGCCGACCGTTGGTGTTGTTGGATGAGCCACGCGGACGACTCGATGGTATACGACGGGTAACCACCACCTAGGTATCTCCGGTGGTCACCTCCGTTTTCCGCGGCCGCGGGTCGTGGCACTGGTGCCGACGGCGCGGGCGATTCGGGTCGGCCCAACAGTTCCTCGTCGAACCAATCCAGCCCCACGTCCTTCATCCAGTCCTGTGGCTCAGGTCCCAGACAGTCGGCAAACCACACGTAAGGATCCGCTTCGTTTTCGATCTTCATCTCGAACCTCTGGGCAGTCTCTTCGATGTTTGAGCGACGAATGAAAATATGTATTATGTAAAAAATCTACAAGCACAGGTTTTCCGGAGCCGTACAGTTTTCACTGCCCGAGTATTTATTTTCAATACAAAGCCTGATTTAAATACTGCTGACGTCTATCGATTACTGTCGCGATGTACCGAAATGACAACAAGATATACCGCGGTATAATATTATCTTCGTGTAAGTGGTATCGCGTATTTTTCGATGTCGGTCTTAGGCGAACCCGTTCGTTCTCGTGTCCTGTGCAAGACTGGCTCCTCGTCACCTCGGAGAGCACATCATAGGTTCGAAGGGACGTTCTTTTTTTATTCCTCTGGGCATATTAATCACCGAGTCGGCACACGTGATTTTCACCTCCTCCGCCTCCCCCTGTCCGCCGGCTTTGTGCTGTACAACGACTCGATCCCTGTCGCCATTACCGAGTGTTTAGCTCGCGTTTTAGACGTCATGTTTGTTTTTTCTACTCTTTATTTTTCGTTTTTTTTTTTCGTCCGTTGTCATCTTTCAATCGGATAATAATAGTTGATGAATATTACTGTGTTATTAATTATTTTTATTATTATACACATATAAGTATATGCTCTCGCGCATGTGTGTGTGTGTGTTTACGGCGAATAACCAGAAGACGACGACAATGACTGAAGAAAAAAAAAGTTTTAATATTGTGTTGAAAAAAAAGCCAAGTGCTACCATACCGTATATACACAAACATGTGTACGCCATCGATGGTCGTCCCCCTTTTCGTTTTTTACTACTATACAACTATATTATAATATTATATACTGTACATAATAATTAATAATAATACCTCCTCTACCGAGCAACATGTCAATTAAACGGGACGGCGTACATTTGGTGACCACAAATGAATATATATATATTAATATTATATTATATTATATACGTGCACGTATCGTTTTTTCTTTCTTTCTATTTTTTTTTTTTTTTTTTTGTTTTTACAGACTCTTTCTTCTCGCATTTCGATATCGTCGAAGTCTGAGGAGCATACGCCGTTTTGTAATGAGGCGGCAAAATAATGTTGCAAGTAAAACGCCAAGGGACGTGTACATAATATTATAGAGCTATATAATATACACACACACACACATGATGTACTATTATCGATATTAATATGGTCAGCTGTTAATATTTTCTTAGTCGAAGACGACATCAGTTGAGTGGATTGGTAGCAAACTTTGAAAATTCTACTCGATCGTATTGAATATTATATATTAAATAAGAAAACTTTGCCACATTGAATGTTTGTATTTCCCTCCCACCTTCCGCGGTAGTCGATCCGATCTTGGTTAATTCAGAAAATTAAAATTAAAATATTTACAATTAATTATTAATTTTAGTCCAGTATTGAACGTTGGTATTTCATTCATTTTCAAAATGTATAGTAGGCACCTATAAGTAAATAGTTTACGCACAAATATAGCAATTATTTAATATTTCCATAGGCATTACATATTTTTTTTTAAATATTTATACATATTATATACATTAAGAATCAAGTAAACAAATTGTATATATAATAAATTATTATTTATTACATTGCAATTTACAAAAGAGACATTATATTAAATTTTAGTTGCATGCCATAAAAATATGTAATAAGCGATTGTGTAGATGCCATGACTGTTTTATATTTTATACATTTACATAAGCAGTTTTTTTCTACAGGTATAACTGTTTAAGTACGCTTTTCAATTATTAATAAAAAATGCTCGACATTTAAATCAATTTTCAACGTAATAATAAGAAGTTTATTATTTTTTTGTACAAATTAAAATATTTACCAAATAATACATTTTCCACGAATACCATTATATAAGCCAAAATATAGCAAACGGCATAGAGGAATGTGATATAGTTATATATTATGTCCAACAAGTACAAAATAATATTTAGTATGTATTTACTAATAACTGTTTGTTAAAAAATAAATAAATACATTTTTAAACAAAATATTACCTTCTTGATATGATTTAAAAATAATTCATACAAATATAAATATAAATCTCTTGACTTTTATGTAAAGTACTTACATAACATAGTATGGTATATCTATTTATAAAATAATATGTATATATCTTTTAAATTATTCGCAAATAATAAATAATTCAAGTGATTCATATTAAATACGAAAAAAAATGAATAAACAGTTTCCTAAAATATATCATTTGTATATAGTCTATACAATTTTAACTACTGTTTGTTATAAGTATAAAAACCTATATACATTTTTAATAATTTACTGTTTTTTTGTCGTATTTAAAAAATGATTTAAACACCTTTACAAAACTAATTTTGTTATGGGTTTATTTAAACACGACAGTTTAGTCATATTATTCTATTTAATAAATATTCCATTAATTTCAGTTGGTCTTACAATAGTCTGTAATATGTTTACAATTCTTTCTTCTGTTTGTTAAAAACTTTTAATTTTCACTAAAATGGAAAAATCGTAACTGTCGGTACATTGTTGTATATTAAAAAAAAAAAAATGGACTTACATATTTTGCTTATACGACATTGTTTACTTATAGTTAGTAGTATATTTTGATAATTGATAACCAGAAAGTTCGAAATTTCCAAATATGCTAAATGCTAATGCAGTATAAATTAAAATTTGAAAGTATAAATAGTCAAAACAATTAGAGAAAGTCAAACTTACTTTACTATAATTATCGAGTACGAATTGAACTGAATATTTTTTTCCATACATCTTCAATAATAAAGTAGTTATTAAAAACTGAAAATCGATGCCCTGCAGCCGCATGTAACAGTTTTCTCATTATGCATTGCCAGACATGGAGATCGACTATTAAAATCTACCAAACGGGCCAAGCAATTATATACCGTGTTAACGGTTCATCAAAATCGTTCAATATTAAATTTAGTGTTATTTCAAGTCTAACCTAGCTATAATAATTTATAAAATTCATAGGTTGTAAAACTCTTACATACCTTCTTAATATTTTCATAACATGGACATCTTACATAAAATCCAGCGGTCTATTACCTTTATCACATCTGACAGCAGTTATATATAGGAGAAGGACAGGAAAAGTGTAATAACTTGTTAGTATTATTACACTAATATAGATAATAAATACGTATAAATCTAATATAGTACCTAAGTCATCAGTATATTTTGAGATGTTTTGTTATGACTTTTTTTTTTTTTTGTCGGAAACTCTATTTATTTATTTATTTATTTATTTATTATTACGCTAGTGATAAAATCTTTGAAACAAAATTGTTATTATTATGGAACAATATTAATTGATTTATATAACTCAGATGAATAAATGATAAGCCATAATATAAACTATTGTTGTAAAAATAAATAAATAACAAAAATGTTGTATTGAAATATTATAGGTATAATAAAAAGCAATGGAAAAATCCAACGTCAACATAATTCTAACTTTCCACAATATTGTGCTAAGAAAATGTATTAATATTTAATACGCCTCCGTACAACTTTAATCGTGTAGGTAGATACAATTCATTCTGATCTCAAATTGAAAACCGTCCATAAATAAGTTAACTATTTCTCAAATTCGTCTAATCTCTCACTCTAATCCATTTGTCAAAAATCTAGCAGCCCCCTAAATTCCCGATATTCATCCTATACGTCTCAAAAATAAATTATCTCGTGATGATAATTTGCTAGATGCATTATACTAATACAAATGACAAATTATAGAATATACTTCACGATAAAATATTTTTTAGAAAAAATTAATCTTTGATAGTTCTATTAATGGCTTCTTTCCTCAAAGTTTATCTACTTATTTGTTTTCTTATTTTACGTGTCTTACCGTTATCCCATATCTACACTTGTTGTGCCCTTAACTCTTGAGTATGATTTTATACTAATTATTGTAGAAATTTAAATAAAGCCATGTGTACAACTATTGACACAAATAAAAGATAAAATAAGTATCGATAAAATAGTATCTTCAATAATATAGTTGATTTTCAATAATGCAAAACTAAAAAAAAAAAATCGGTTCAGTGTTGTCTGTTGATATGAAAATAGATCTCTTAAGTCTTGATATAGCATTGAATTTTGAAACAAAATTGTATTAAATATTATAAAAATATGGTCTGCAAATTATAATAATCAAACATATGTTTTATGACATTTTAGAACACGTGCCAAGACACTTATTAATATTTGTTCTATAATTGAACTAGAATGAAAAATAATATGTCATGAAAAAATACGTATATTGTAATCGTTTCTTTTGTTTATTTATTTTTTTATTACTATTATTTCGAGCAAGAAAAAAAAATGTTTTTTTGAGGACACGTGTCCGTTAAAAACACAGCAGGAGATTTAGCTGTGGATGAAGGTGGATCGGTTAAGATGACCATCACACGTTTGTAGTGTGTTATATATAGGGAGTTAAAATAATATGATAACTACCTACTAACATTTAACAACCAAAAATGCATAGGTAGACATTTTATTACTTTTGAGTTTTATAATCTGTTCGTAAACAATAACAATTCCATGTTAATTATCATAAAAATGTAATTTGTTAAAAGAAAAATACTATACATTCCAGTAAATTGTTCAATAGACATCATTGTAAGAAAAAATTAAAAATATGAACCATCGTCGTTTGTGCTTTGACTCACACAAACACCTATTTATTGAATTAAAATCATTTTATCGATGAAATTTATTTAAATCGAAATTTAAAATGTAAAAATAATTTTTTGAACAATAATTAATAACATATATTATTATTTTGAATGTCCAATAATAATTAATAGGGCATTAAAATGTCCATTGTTATAATATGACAAACTATTTTTAATATAATATAATATACCTACTGAGTAACATATTTGTATGTTCACAGTACGATTTTTTTTTTCACCACTGTAATTTCACAACGTTCAAGGGAGGATGTCCCCCTCGAACGCAATTTATT